CCTTCAAAGCCAGCTTAGGAACTGAAGCAAAGAGACTGTTGGTTACAAAATGTGAGGAGAAGAATCTGTTTGTCTTGGCCTCTGTTCTGTTTGGCATTCCTTACATAGTGTGGCCTGACCATACTACCTCCCTAGATACCCCCCCCCCCCACACATCTAGTATAAAACACATCGCAGGATTTCTCCCATCTATTTGGGAGGGTAACGTTGTCAGGGACAGGTCAGTTGGACTGGTGCCATCTGTCAATATTAGAAAAAAAAACTCTCCAAGCAGAGGTTTGGGTTATTTTTGGTGTGTTTTTAGGCTTTTTAACAGGGTTTCTTTTTTGCATCAGTTGGGTTTGGGTAAAAAAAAAATTCCAGTGCAAAAATAAGAAACCCCAATAAAAAAAGCCTAAAAACACGCCAAAAATAACCCAAAATCCAAACCTCTGCTTTGAGAGTAAAAAAAGTACAAGTTTAGATAGTAAGAATTTACTCAATCTTTTATGATGCTACTCGGTCTATCGATTTTAAGTTGTCCAATTCTGATATAATTTCAGGCTGGCAAAACCGGATTTTCAAAGGAAATTTTCTGGCCATCCTTTTAACGTAGTAAGTTGAACCAACATTGGTGCAGGTAATTTTCAAGTGCAGGTGTGATTTTAAAGTATTTCGAGCCATGCTACATATATGTATCTATGCATAGAGTCTGCTTACAAAATGGCCATAATTGTTATCTATTGTACCAGGCAGATCACATGAGTAGATCACAAGCAAGCTCCCACTGTGCTCTTGTTATACAGCCGTATGTTAATATGTACATGAATGATGTGAACATGAATGTGGTGGGAACTTGCCAGACATATTTTTCTAGTGCTCCAACAGGTTGGTTAGGTAGATTTTAGCATAATAAGTAGAATCTAAGTAATACTATAATAATTATAATATATAATAGGAAATCAGGGCTTGAAATACTGGGTGCATATGCACCTTAGTGCACCCAGATTTGGAGCTGTGCACCCAATTTTTTTCTGTGGGTGCACAATTGCACCCAAATATTTTGAAATTCATAGGTTTATGTATGTAAAGATGTTAAAGGTATAGTAGTATACAGCATATTCTTAAAATCTAACTTCTAAGTCTCAGAAAAATATAATAAATTGTTATAGTACTTTTCTTTAGCTCACAATTTACTTATCTTATAATATGGTGCACCTGAAATATTGTAATCCAATTTTTTAGGTAGGGTGCACCAATGCACCTATTCCCAAAAATGAATTTCGAGCCGTGGAAATAGATCAACAATTCTGGTCGCAAAAATATGCGTACTCAAATTTCTTCTCTATTTACATGTAGTAGCTTTAGATCAGTAGTTGTTTCATTTTTTCTCTTGAATGGGAGATTGAATTCCTTCAGGAAAATGGAGCAATCTTATACTTTATAATTACTTACTGCCAGTGATTAGAAGTGACGTATTTGGCCTGTGGCTGTCACAAATTATTACCAAAACGTTGTACATGTTAAGGTGTATGTGGATTAGTAATAATTGCTGCGTCTACTCAGTTACCACCTATGAAATATGAAAGAAATAATGGCAAAACAGTTTTAGTATGATCCATTTTTCGCAAAGTCTGAATGGTGCAGGCCAAATACAATGTATGTCTGTTGCAGGTTATTTTCAATGTTACCTGCACCAGTGCAGGTACAAAATGTATGTAGAAAGAGTATTTCAAGCCCCCGATGCCAGTACATGCGTACAATATGGGTCGTGCGTGTTTAAAGCACACGTACCCCCTGTGGAGATGATGACATGAATAGATTTTGGAACAGAAGGGAATGAAGCTTTGCATATCAATTAAGGACATGGGATCTCTGGATGGAGAAATAAGAGAATGGGAATTTACAGTGGCATTTTTGTAAATATAAATGTAATCTACAGAAAATTTGAAGTAAGGCCACACCAATTTAATTTGTTGGTTCTCGGATTTTTTCAGAAAAAATATGAAGCGACAGGGCGAAAAAAATAAAAACTAGAAAGGTAACATTTGCAAGCAAATGCAATATGTTTACCTCAGGATGGTCTTGCCTACGATTTAACGTTATACCTTTATTAGGAAAGGAAAGGAAAGGTAGAAGGATAGTTTGCTTATATTACTGACTTTTATGTGCTGTTTATAGAGTAACATCAACGTTATAACTGGGGAATGTTTTTGCCGTTGTAAGGCCAAGTTTAAAATCTACCCGTCTGCCACTCAAAGATCATTACCATAGACTAGTCTTGTAGTGCCATGTGTAGGAGATACTAAGATATATAAATAGTTACATACCACAGTACC